AATTATCTAAAAATACCGCAAGCCTAGTTGCTTAAAAATCAGCTAAAATTCGTTTTATGGATAATGAATTAAGAAAAATTTTATCTATTTGCTCCCAGCGGATTGTATCCTTGGTAGCTAAAAAATTAGATACACAAATAATAATTGTTAATAATAATGGAATTATTTTAAATGAATGGGATTCTATTAATCAAATTAAAAAATCTTTAAATATTTGTACTAAAATTACGCGTAAGCGTATTAAATCACCACATTAAATATTTAGGAATGTAGAATATCCAATATCTTCGATATTGGAATTTTAAGACCGATAAATTAATATAAAATAAAATCATAGTCAGATTAAAATATTTAATTTGGCAATACTAATGAAAACAATTAAAAATATAATTTCAATATTAAGATTGTTGGTCGGATCCTATGGATCCTGATCATAACAGACTAGTTCATTGGTGGGTGAAAAAAAAATAAAGAATTTTTTTTTGCTTAATGTATAGTCGAAATATTACATTAAAAATGTTTAAGGCCCCCTAAATAAAATATTTTAAGGGGGGTACAGGTAATTATAAATAAGAAATAAAATTCTTTTTGTACTCCTCCATTGGGGTGGGTATTAATTTTGATATTAATTTATCTAATTTATAATTAGAATATTTGTATGTTCTTCCTTTTGGTTTTTAAGGCCTAAATATAAATTTCACTATATGCTGGAATATCCTAAAATTTTAAGTACCAAAAACATTGTTTTTGGTGACAATCTTTAAAATATAATAATGGACAATCAGCAGGAAACCAAAAGCCAGTATTATATATTGACTAAGTAGAATCCTCAGAGACTATACGTGAATAAATTCAATTAAAAATGAAAAAAAAGATAGTCCTATATAATATGTTTCATAACATTTTTTCAAATAAATTGGTGGATTATATAATTTCAGATGTGTATTCAACATCACTTTTTTAAATTTTATTTTCTCTTTAAATATTTTATAATCTATAAAGAATAATGATACAAATATTCTTCCATCCAAAATAATAAATCCATCGTGGGTTACTGGATTTATTGATGGGGAAGGACATTTTGCAGTTAATATATCTAAAATAAAGGATTTTTAATTAGGTTATTCTGTATCTTTATCCTTAAGAATAATTAAAAAATAGCGTAGCAGACAGATTATAAAAAATTAAAAAATTATAATGATTAGAAAATTATATTTAATATGCTTATCAATAAAAAAATATCTTACACAAAATGGTTTGGATATTATTAAAGAAATTAAAGCCAATATGAATAGTCAAAAAGTTTAATATTATATGCAAATGAGTTTATGGGGTGTTACAGTAATAACTAATTTATTTTCAGCTATACCTTGGATTGGTACAGATTTAGTTAATTTAATTTGGGGTAATTATAGTGTAAGTAATGCTACTATTAATAGATTTTTTTCTTTACATTATTTATTACCTTTTATTTTAGCAGCTCTTATTATAGTACATTTAATTGGTTTACATCAAAATGGGTTTTTAAAAATAGGCCCAAAATTATTATATAGATTAAAAAATTATAACTATACGGGGCGATTCAGATCTCGGCATTTTTTTATGAAAATATTTAATTCAAATGCTTTTATATTACCTAATATAAAAGCAAAAAATTGAATAGGACCTCATAATGAAGATACAATATCTTTATTAGTTGGTTCATTATTGGGAGATTGTTATGGAGAAAGATTAGCAAATGGTGGAGTAAGATTTATATTCAAACAAAGTATTATACATAAAGAATATTTATTTTGGTTATATAAGTTTTTTAATGAAAGAGGTTTAACTAATAATAATTTACCTACTTTATCTAAAAATGTATTAAATAATAAAATATATGAATATTATAAATTTAATACATTTAGTTATAGTAATTTATTATGGTTATATAAATCGTTTTATAGTAATAAAACCAAAAGAATTCCTTTAAATATTCATGAATATTTAACACCTTTAGCTTTAGCTGTATGGATTATGGATAATGGTTGTTGGAAAGAATATGGTGTAAGAATAGCAATAAATTCTTTTACAATAGATGAAATAAATTTATTAATATTAACATTAAATAATAAATGGAATTTAAATTGTTCCAGCTTCCCTGGTTTTACTAAATCTAAACAACATCAATTATATATTAAAGCTAATTCTATTTCTTTATTACGTAGTATAGTCTTACCTTATTTTCATAAATCTATGTATTATAAATTAGGTATATAAAAATAGTCAAAATATTATATAATAATTATTCATTAATTATTATATAATAATTAAAATGGTTATCACCATTTTAGATGTATTTAATACGTCTGGCAATATAAGTGAAAACGGTTAAAAATTATAGATAAAGTACCTATTTATAATTTAAGACCGTCGGTTGTATATATTATTAGTAAGTAAATAATATAATATGTTCGCTACAGACTGGATCACTTATGGATATTAACTTACAGTTTTTAAAATATATTAATATATTTTAATTTAATATTTAATGTACAGTCGAAATTTATTATTTGCTAATAATCCTTTAGGTATAAGTAGTAATGTTGATAAAATTCCTTTTCATCCTTACTTTTCATATAAAGATTATGTAGGA